ACTTAGGTTGCTTCCAAGTCTTGGCTATTGTGAATAACGCTGCAGTGAACATAGGGGTGCACGTATCTTTACGCCTTGGTGTTTTCACAAGTGTTGGAGAGGATGTGGAGAGACGGGAACTCGCATATACTGCTGGTGGGAGTGCAAACGGGTGCAGCCGCTATGGAAAACAGTGTGGAGATTCCTCAAAAAATTAAGGATAGAACTACCATACGATCCAGCTATCCCACTGCTGGGTATCTATCCAAAGAACTGCTAGTTATTTCAAAGATCCATTTCCTTGTCTTCCTGGGCCCACAGACTGCTTTTCTGGTCACCATTACAGTCTAGTGTGGCCACGTGACTGAGCCCCAGTCAATAGAATGGGAACAGAAGTGATGTGTGCCATTTCCCCTGCCACCTGGAATCAGAGGATCCCAAGTCTCTAGGGGAAGGCGGAGCGACAAGATGGAAGGAGCCTGTGAGCAAGAAATACCCTTCTACTGTATTTGAGACATAATACATAATACATTTTGGCTCTATTAGTGCCAACAGCCTAGGGTATCCTAAGACATCACGTAGCTTCCCCAAACACCCTTGCCTGGCAGATGCTTTATTTGCAGCACTTCAACCAGAGGAAAACTTGGGAGAAGGTGTTGCCCCAAAGTTCATGTCAAGGACTAGTTAGGGCAACTAATGCAAAGGCCGCACTCTTAGAAAGTGTGCAAACTATAAAGGTTGAAACAGGAAATTTATGATATATGGAAACCCACCTGGTAGTGCCATCGTGCACAGTAATGTTCATTTAAGTGGACTCTCCCTGGAAGGAGAGACCTGCGAACATGCGGAACAGGGTATATTGGCAAAATGAACCATGAAGGGCTTTTTCAGGTATATGTAAAAGGATTACATGTGGGGAAAAAGAATAGAGAAGGAAATAAATCCGTGTGTCTGGAAAGCAAATATAATTAGAGAAATAATCACTGGAATAACCAAATCGAGAGAGAGTGCTAACAACTTGGAAACAACCAGGCCTGGTACTTGGAGGAATTTACCAGAAGGCTCAAGAAGTAAAGAAGCAGCTTTTGAGGAGGTGTGTTAGTGATGTGATGAGAGTCTTCCCTTTCTCACAATTGCTTCTTCCAGAAAAGCCCCTTGAGATTATGCCATAAATTGACAAGTTTGAGAAACATCTATGTTTTCATTCAACAGAATGGCAGACTTGCCACACTGTGCAATTTATCCTATTATTTGTTTCTTCAGTTCTTCACATTGTTTTCTAAGTGCCTTCTAATAGTATTTGCTGACCAAGGAATGCATTTTCACTTTAAACCATATTATTTTATATACTTTACTTCAATCTTGTTTTCTTCTTTAACTCCATCAGGAAGAACAGGTGTTTCTCAATGGTAAGCAGCTTAACTGTTTTCAGCTAATATTAAGAAATCTTGAGGAAGGTGTCTAAATATTATCGTTAACTTACTGAAATTCTGTCTAGACTGAATGTTGCTTAAATTTAGACATCTCAGAAAAAAAATAGAGAGCTTTGTCTTCATATTCTGGACACGTACTTTTCTTAAACTTTTTATTACAGGAATTTTCAGGCATCCATAAGAGTACAGAGATTTGTATAAAGAACTTCCATGTATTCATTACCTGGCCTCAACAAATAACACAGGGCTAATCCTATTTCATCTACACTCCCCTTCCTGACTGGATTATTTTGAAACCATCCCAGATATCATCTCACTTCATCTGTAAAACTTCAGCATGTATTTCTAAGAGATAAGGGCACCCCCCCTTTCAAACATAATACCATTGGCACCATTGTCATAAATGAATGCCTCTTTAATATCATCTAATATCCACTGGGTGTTCACCTCTCCCGGATTGTCTCATAAATGTCTTTTTACTGTTGGCTTCTTTTAATCAGGATCTAAACAAGGTCCATGTGTGGCATTTGGATGACATGTCTTCAAGACTGTGTTACTCTATAATCATTCCAATTTCCTCTTTTTTTTCTTGCTGGATGCAAAGAAATTGTTAAATCTCTTACTAAATGTGATGGCTTCATCCAAGCGTTAGCTGATACCTAAAGGTAAAATATACATTCATGACAAAGCTTTTGGCTTATGATAGTAGATATGCTTTCACATTTCAGTCTTAATAATTGTGAATTTTTGGCAGATCTGATTAGACTGCTTTTGTTTTAATTTGCACTGTGGTTGTTGCAAAGCTCTGACTAGCTCTGCCGTTTTCCTGCTGTTCACTTGGGCTCACATCATTAGCCTTTAGTTCTCAGTTTCTCTGCATTAACACTTTACAACTACCTGTTCAGCTTTTGAGAGTTAACATTTTACGTCATAAGCCACCCACTTGTTTTATATCTTAACATCTATGAAATTGGTTGCATATTATAATTGATGGTGAGTAATAGTTTAATAGGGGGCATTCTTCTTTCCTATTTGATTCCTGAAACAATGGCACATCTTACAATCGAAGGAGTTCTACATTTGATTACATGTGCTAGTTTATTTAAACTAGAGAATATAAAGGCCCCTCCCTGTGGAACGTCTACTCTTCTCTCTGAACAGTGGACAGCCTCTATAGAACAATATTCTGAGGGAGGGTGACCAGTCAGGGTTTGAGTGGGACACACAAGCCATTCTAAATCTTCAGAATGGAAGTGGTTTAATACAAAAGCAGAAGCTTATATAGCTGTTGGAAGGCAGGGGGCCAAGGTGAGGAAGGAAGTTTCCAGAGATGCAGGAGTGCAAGGGTTGCAGGGAAGCTCCCTCAACAGTTTCAGCTTCCTGCATGACTGAAGTAGATGAATCTCAAGATGACATCCAGAGGCCGCTGGCAAGATGCACGTCTGCCTTCTTCTGAGGCCCAAAGGCCTGTCCTGAGCAGCCACCAGAGGAAAATTGCTTCTCCTTACCTTCCTCCTTTCCGCTCGTAGAAGAACCTAACCCAGCCTACTGGTAAGGGAGTGTGGAGCAAAGGAGAGAACTTAGAAGGGCTGGGGTGGTGGCGAGTGTCAACACTCAGCACATTGAACACTTCACGTTAGTCAATCCATGCATTAACTATAAAAGAGCTTCATTTCTCTCATCGTATATAAATATAAAAGGAACATGTAATATATTCGTCCTGCTCCCAATGGATTGACTTCTGCACCTCGCAGAGCATCTACACCCCACTCCTGACATCACTGGACTTGAGCAGCCCAGGGCAGCCAAAGGCAGCTGGACCAGTGAGGCCAAACGTGGACCGGGGCTTGCAGAGGCCAGAAGCCTGCCCTGGCCGCCCCCTTGCTCCTGAGGGATTCTTTCCTCAAACGAATGAGCTTAATTAAGTGCTTTGGTTCTTTGGTTGAAGAGCAGGACACAGAATTACTGAAACATTAGGACACTTATCAGTCGGAATCGTTTGGAGCTGACTCCCATGCTGTAGCACAAGCATCCTGAGGCTCTCCTTCCCCTGAACGTTGGGTCACCTCAATTACGTTCTAGGCAGCTTGAGGGGAGGAGCTAGGTCCCTTATTTCTTAAGGATCTCCTCTCAGTGCTGATAGTTCCCCTAAAGCCAGAGAAGGTGATCCCATAACACCAGAGTTGCCTCTAGGGTAGCAGCGAGAGTGGGCAAGCTCGATCTGAGTATGCGCTCACCGTGGCGAGTTGCTTTCAAGGTTCAATTTCATCAAGCTGCTGGGGAAACGTCAGGAGGTAGAGGAAGGGAAACTGCCATGCATTCCGAAGGTGGCCCCTTGTTTGCACATCTTCCTCACCCAGAGCCCTCCCTCATTCCCTGGATCAGCCTCAGCGGACTTATAAATACGAGCAAGTCTCAGCATCACACTAAAGAAAAAGGAATACAAACATGCTTCATTTACGCAGCCAGCTGTGAGTACGAGCCCTTACGTAGCTTGAGAAAGCAGTGCTTTTCCTCCCAATCACATTGTTCCTAGGCATGATGTTCAATTTTTAATTTCTCATAATATTACAGAAGGGCATGGCTTTTACATGCTTACAGAGGGGGCCTGGGTTTAAAAGTCTGGGAAATCCTTCCCTGGAACCTGTACAACAATTAGACATTCCAACGATTAGAAATCACACAGATGAAAGACGAAAGCAAATGCTCAATGTGCCCAGAGGGCTTTAGAGCTCAAGTTGCAGAATTCTGCTGGCTACAGAGAGCCTAAGGATGGACTGAGAAGGAAAGATCATTTTAAAAGCCTGGAAAGTTCACAAGAGCTAACATGGCATGATATTCTCTGGGCTAAAAATGTACAAAACCAGACAGTGAAGAACAAGTGGTGCTGAATCACCCAAAGTCCCAGACAGCAAGTTGACACCCCCATTCCAGGCACTTGAGCATCATGCCTGGAGCCTCAGTTAGGGCCCCATCGTCTCCAATGAACTGCAGGACACCCTGCTGAGAAGCACCAGCAGTAAGAGTTTCTGGGTTCCAAGCCATCAAGCAGCAGCTCCTGGGGCAGGGTGGGCTGAGGGGTCCAATACTGAAGGCGATTCAACCACAACCCGGAGCCTCTAAGGTTTTTCCACCATGTAAGCTGGGAGAGCTTAAGGCATAGGGAGTATGGCTTCTGGGCCCCAGTGGTAAAAAAGCAGCCAGAATTGCCAGCCAGAGGTATGAACTCAGGTGGGACCAGATAGCTGGGGGCACTGGCATTTTCTAGCATGCTTGCATCATCGATAACTGCAAGCAACAAATGTTTTGAGCACAGATAAAACTCATTGGTTTAACTTCTTACTGCTCCCCTGGGGGTCTCATTTAAGGCCCCTACAAGACGTCAGCCCTCTGCTCCTAGGAATGTGTTTACCTGTAGAATGAGGTCAAGGGTTAAAATTCGAGTATTTGGACATATAAAATCACGGACTTACTAGAGTGCTTCTTGTTCAACACAACCAATTCAAGGATTAATGTAATGCCGTGAAAGCAAATAAAATAAAATCTGAGGCTTTGACATCGATTGTTGCAGTTATTTAACTTTATTATATTTTAAAATCTGAGAACTGTAAAACTGTAATATTCATACAAATACCTGAGGACTCTTCAACTGGGCACAGAATCTTCACACAAACAACTTGAGAGAAGACCGAGTTTAAATTAGCATCTTGTCATACAACACAAAAGGAATAACATAAATGAAACCACTCTTTAAACCACATATGCCCAGTAAATAGTTACATTTGTTTGTAAAGTACACTTGTTTTTCTAAAAAAAAAAAAACAAAAGTACATTCTTGACCCTGGTGAACATTTTATTGGCATTTGTAACAAATGGCTAATACAATTAGCACCAATTCTCATAGCTTATAAACATTACACCAAATGTTATACAATATAACAATGTAATAAATAACAAAATAATAACAATGAATGTTCGCTTGAAAGTTCTAATTTTTAAAATAAAGTCCAAAATGACAAATCAGAACTAATATATCGTCCAAAGTTTAGTAGGATAAATGGCTCAGAAAGAAAATTAACTAGAAACATTGCACAAGACAGAGAACTTCCCTGTACGGAAACCCTGAAGAGTGAGCTGAGAGGTACTAGTGATGACAAATGATGTGCGTATTTTTTACAATAAAAACATCACACTATATACAGAGTTAACCTTTACCTCTGTGGAAGTGCAAAGTGCCATTTTAAATTCACAAAGATTTACTTGTGTGTATACTTCAGATATAGAATAAAATGCAAATATGAAACAAGATCCAAATGAGAAATAAACACAGACAATAAAATATATATCTTTTAAAAATTTGGACATAAGCATCTTTGAAGAGAGATGCGAGCAATGTATGCCTAGTTAAATGTCCAAGTTTCAGCGAAATATGGAAGTTTTAAAATTATGGAAGTTCTAAACTTTAAAAAAGGTATTTAATTGAAAAGAATAAATCAGACTCCATCCAAACTGCACTGTAGTATAATATCTCCTGCATAAAATGACCATTCTATCTTATAATTATTAAAAAACTGGTAAGAACACTTCATGAAAGCTTACAAGGTTGCTTTTTTTTTCTTTAAATAGGAACAAACACAACATACAGAGAAATGACAGAAAGGAAAATAATTTATATGGCTATTCCCTTTCTGGACACTGGTAGAACATGAACAGAACATTGCAGTGACAGACATAAAATATTTGAGAAAGAGATGATAGCTACAGTTGTATCTTTAAATTCCCTTCTAAGGAAAACTTCTCATGGATTTCATTAGAGAACTTGTCAGTCCCTGATATTTTCTCTTTGGGATTTAGCTGTTTTCACCAAAATCAAAGCTGTTTCTCGGTTTCCCGCATGAAGTATGTTTGTAAACAATACAATGAAAATAATAAAAAGATATAAAGAACAAACTAACAGTTTGGATATGCTAATACTAACACATTATATGGTTTCTAAAGAAGTAGACTGAACTGTAACATAGTTCTGCAATTCTGGATATAACCTATTTTTAGAGGAACCTTCCACACAACACAAACTTCTAAGGGCGGAAAAATGATTTTACAGTAAGAAGGCCCTGGTCTCCCCAGAATTAAGTCCAATCTAAATCCACGCAAACATTTTTTCAATTGTTGAAGCACTTTTTTCTTTCAGCCTTTCGATGTAGTGGCACAACTTCACAGTTGTCCCCAGCTTCAACCCCATGTACTTCATCATTATGTCACCCTTGAGTAGTAGAAGAGCTTTCCCATCAATGTCCTATAGAGAGAAGGAAATTACAATAATTAATAATGCTTTCATATTTTATCAGAACGGTTATTTCTTTCTATATAAGAACATGTAACACCAATTAGGGAGCAGCTCATTCCAAATGTATATTCTCTGAATATGCATTTGCTTGATGAAAACTATTAAAAATATAATTTGTACAGTGAAGCATCATTTGATCATTTGTAAATTTACTTGAAATTTTAAGAAAAAGGAAATTTAACCTAATATCTTAAAAATGTCCTAAGGGTCAAACTACCTCATTTTAAATACTGTGTGCTGAATAAAATACTGTATAGCTATGACAAAAAGAGTAAAAACTATGAATTCTAGAAATGAATTTCAGACGGTCATGAACTTTCTTAGAAAGGCTGGGAATATGAGTATGTCAGCATCAGTGCAAACTGTAAATGTGCTCTACAGTATGGTCTTGATGTTGAAAGCTCATCAGTTAGCTGTCCGAAGCTAACTAAATGCTAAAAATTACTGATTTTCTTATCATATTGAAAAGGGTACATCAGATATGTGGCCACTAATTTGATTCATTAGGAAACACTATGAAAGTATTACTTGATAGTCACAAGGCATCCTCCTAAAATTATTTATTACATTAATTGATCAACTGATGTTGCTGAAGCATATTATTTGGTTTTCATGAGTCCTGGTTTAAAAATAAAGCTGTACTGAATCATATATCACTGTCTAAAAAGACCTGAAATCCCTTAAAATCCTGCCTTTGTCAGACACCTTCTATACTTTTTCTACTAAGCAAAACTAGAAATTAAAGAAATTAGAACTTACAAAAATTTAGCCCATGATGTTAGTTTGTAAATGCCATGAGGGTATCAGCATCCCAATATGTCAATAACCATCTAAGGTTAACAGAACTGAGACAAATGGAATCAGTTGCTGGATTCACTGGGTATGATAACAAGGAGGACAGGACACCCTGTCACAGCTTGGTCACCCCCTCCTACTCACAGTCCTGGGGCCGAGCAGAGAGCAGGTGGGGAGGAGGATCCTTGTAGCTGCCCTTACAAAGGAGAAGACGCCTGAAAATGGCCATGCTGAATCATTTTCTCTTGAGAACTTGAAGACTTGTGGTATTTTAGGTACTCAGGTACCCATTTAAAGCACAGATCCAGCCTCGACCATTTAAGGATCTAATTTTGGGCAAAGTAACCTTTCCCACATATGGAAAAATCAGTTGGTAGGGTTCCCCCACCATCCACACTAATCAGTATCCATCTGAAGGGCCTGCACAGAGGTCATGCAAAGGCATTAGGGCAGGAAAACCAGATCAAAAAATACATTACGTGTTGCCTGAAGGTGTCGGCGAGGGAGCATGATATCTGTGGATCTATATGTTTCAGAAACAGGATCACTTCATCCACAGACCAGGTTAAAGGGTCATCAGAGAAGCCGTGTTTTAGCATACCCGGGTCAGCTCTAACTGGTGAACTTGTAGCTTCAATGGGGGAAAAAAGACAAAATCAAACTTGACCTGATCATTATCCTGAAAGAAGAGATGTTAGGTAGGGAGTAATGCTCATTCCTGGAACCTTCTGTTAGGTACCCCAGCAAGGACCCAGGACTCCAAGTGTAAATCCAGTGAAAGCCTACATAAAGATGACCTGAGGATGGCTACCCAGGAGCATCCCATCTGACCTCCCCCAAACAACAAAAGCAGCTTCAGAAGTTACTGTAAAGCTTCAAAGATCATATAACGGACTGAGCAATCCGAGGCCTCTTTGGCCACAGGCAAATACAGCCAAAGATCCGTTACTTGGGTTGCATTAGGTTAATCTATGCTCACCTATTACTCTCTTACTTTGAGTATTTCAATGAATTTCTCTCAATCTCTCTCTTCTTGGTCTGTCTAGATTAGGTTTACTTTACTAATTACAATGTAAATTCCCAAAATCTACAGTTTTATAATTGCCTAAATTTATTTGCTTTAACCAATGCATTTCAATAACCCCATTATCTTAGAGAACCAAATTAGTTATTTTCCTGAATCTCTTTCCTGTATTTAAGATGAATATTTTTAGCATCACTTTACTCTTTAAATTCCTGCCTCTCAGACTTAGATGCTTATCTGCATTTTGAAGAAAACAAGATTATTTTATGCTTAGCTAGGTCAGAAGTAACTTTAACATTATACTGAATACCTCTTTCGAGTTTAATTGCATAGTAATAGATATTTTGGTTGAAGGTTTACAAGTTTAAAAAAGAAATAACTGAGACATGAGACAATTTAAGTACTCAGACCTCAAAAAGTTTTAGCTGTGCTGTTCACTAAGTTGTACTGAAAGTTCTTTGTGTCTAGACAAGTATTCATTTATTCAACCAGAGCGCTCAACTCTCTAAAGTTAGTGTGTGATAACAGAAGTGAGTTTTTTGATTTGCTAGGAAGATCTGTTTATCTAGCCAAGGACCGTCAACACATATTTGATCTTTTTTGTGTGAATTAGCCAAAGGTGTACCTTTTCTTTCCTATCATTTGGGCTCTGGCTATTTCAGGAACATTTTGAGTATTTACCCTGGGAAAGGGCAAAGAAAAACAGAAGATCAAAGAACTCACAATGGGGTCATTGTGAGTATTAGTGGAGAAGTGGCATGTCGGTTGATTAGCACAGTGCCTGGCACATAGTAGTCACTCCATAAATGTTAGTTACCCATTATGAATATCACCCAAAACCAGCCCTCAAAATAGGAAACAAACAGCTTCCACTAGTTTGCATCAAAGATGTTGAAGAATATACGTTAAATAGTGCTACTTATAATACGTGTCATTTCACACTCACCAATGCCAGCCGGCATGCAGCGAGATGAGGCAGTAAGGTCAAAGCTCTTATTTTCCAGTGAAGTTGGGTAAGCCATCATCTCAGGGTTATGTACTGGACTGGGTTCGTCTTGGGCCAGCATGGCTGCAGATCCTGGTGAGGAAGCTTGGGGAGATGAGGCGACACTCCTGGTGCTGTGGGCCTCTGGGCTGCCAAAACAGGTCACGGTGGGGGTGCCCTGCACTGGCTCATCGGGTGTGAAATACGATGGATATGAATGCGAAGAGAAGAGGGAGGGAGGCGACAGATTCTGGCTGAGGCTCGGCTCCAGCTCCTGCTCCAGCTCTGGCTCCAGCTCTGCAGGGAATGACTGCAACTCGTGTTCCGGGGACTCCTGTGACTGGTAAGGTGATCCTACAAAGTTGCTATCGTAATCAATTTCCGGCCTTCTTACCGGTATAGTTGGGCTATAACTTTCAGGGTAAGAGAATGAAGAAGGAAGCTCCTTCTTCTTCATTTTCTGCAATTTGACCTTTCTAGAAAGCAGGTAATAATACTTTTTGTATGAATATCCAAACTTCTGAAATGACACAAACCATCATAAACCAACTGTGAGTAAAAAAGGAAATAAAGTAAGTAGTAAACACATTAATATTTATTTTCCATGCAACATTGCTTTATATTATTAAATATTAATGCTCTATTTTGATTATATGATTTTTATTCCTCTTCAACCCTACATTTTATACATTATGATTACAAACATAATATCCATTGTCATACATTTCTCAAACTTAAACTTCAGCATTTTTCCAACAGTTTTAGTCGTTCATCTGCTGCTACAGCAAGTATAGATCAGCCTTCAGTCTCACCGAGTTATTAGTTCTCTCTCACTTCTGACTGGCATCTTTAGAAATCAGAGGCTTATTATAGTTGTGAAAATATTTTTATAACACTTACATGATTTTTCCGTAATGGTTTCACACGAAAACGACGAATTTTTGAAACCTTTCCATTAATGACATCAACCTTCTTATCCAGGTTTTGAATAGCATCATTGATAGCCTATTATAATACAAGCTATTAGTAGTTTCTATTTCAAAAGAAAAGTAACATATAAAAAGATCAATAAGCCAAATTTTAACTGCTAGAAACAAACAAAGTTCTCAAGCCATCAGAAATGTCTCATTTTCCACTTGATGCCTGGCTGTAGGTGACATAGAGCCGAGCTGGCTGAGGTGAGGAGCCCCCACCTCCTCCTCAACTACTCCATGTCATTCTAGCATTTTAAGAAGCTTTACTACTGGAAAGTCAATGTCCCACAATTCCTATAAGCCATCGCATTTATGATGGAGTCATTTTACATCAAGGAAGGTGCCATTTTAGGAAAGAAATTTTCAAAGCTGCTAAAAGGCCAAAGAGCCTCTTTCCATATGATGATGGTATTGAACTAATAGGCAGTGAGCGTTCCACTCAGGAAAGAACAATGAGCCAAACAGAACAGATGTGACTTCCGGCTTCAAAGTATTTTAAAATCATGCAATCAACAATGAACCTTACAAAACCTTTGAGTATACGTCCCCTGCATGCCAATCAGCTGTGTGACTGATAAAACCTGAGAATTCTTGAAATACACAGAAATTTCATTTGGGCAGAAGATACACTTAAATAAGAGGCCAGAACCATTTCTCATTGAGGGCCCACCACCTGTCAGAAATACTTTGCTAGATGCTGGGAACATAGATCTTAAAGAAAACAACAACAACAAAGCCAGCTTCTGCCCTAAGGAACTCCCATTTTAGCTGGAGAGAGAGACAAGTAAAGAGATGATCCCAATAGAGAAAGTGATTAGCAGGCTGAAGCAGTGGTTCTCAAAGTGTGGTCTGTGGACCAGTGGCATCAATATCACCTACTGACTCGGGAACTCGGAGAGTGGGGGGCCGAGATTCGTGTTTTCACAAGCCCTCCAGATGATTCTGAGGCACGATCAAGTGTGAGACCCACTGGCCTCTAGCACTGAGGTAAACAGCACAGGCTCTAGGGGAATGAAGTTGGGTTCAAATACTAGCGTTCTGACACTTATTAGCTCTGTGACCTTGGGCAAGTTACTTAACTTCTCTGTACTTCAATTTCCTCATGTATAGAATCAGGATGAAAATCTCTCTCAGAGTTCTCTTGAGGACAAAGTGAGGTGCTATAGTATAGTCCCTCCTACATCCTACCCTCTGTACATCCTTCCCCAGAAGACTTGATATGTTCCCTTTAAGCATTCCACTTCTGTTCTCTATAATAATGATGATAAAGACTCACATAAACATTTTTTACTTTTCAAAGTATGTTAGTTCATTTTATTCAAGAAACTTTGTATGTTTAGACACATTTATTTTTTATAAACATCATTAGCTCTAGGGTATGCGGCTCGCAAAATCCTTGACAATTACATACTTCTATTAATCTCTACCAACATGCTAGTTTTTACAAAATCCCCTCAAAACTCTAAGATACACTCTTTAAAGAACAGTGGTGGGCTGCCATTTTGATTCACTTGAGATATCTTGATGTGCATTTAGGCACATCCTAAATTTCATCCAAATCAGCCAATTTCCTCTAGAGATTTTATAGGGGAAATTAGTTCAATAGTGAGCAATCTAGACGAAAGAGACATAACTACATTTGATTAGGTTAGGGCTTTTAAAAAAAGCTATAAAATCTACATATTGCTATTTCAAATTTTTCACCTGGAGACGCTATTCTAACTAGAAATTGTTAAAAATCATCACAATGGGGTGCTAATCATAAATAATTTGATACAGCAAAATTTTCATTAATTGTATACTTTCTCTTTTCATGAGATAAAGAGAATTTTAGCATACTATTTTAGAAAACTACATTTGAGAGACAGAACTTTTGTACCTGGCAATGATTAAAGACGTCCAGAATTGTTTTATCTTGCTCTTCATTGTAGGGTGTGTCAGATAGAACACTTTCCTGCTAATATTTTAAAGGTTAAGTAGTTAATGCTTTACTTCTATGAGAGCCAAATTGAACACGAGGAGAAAATAACACTTTATATTTATTTATTTAAATTGTTATTTTCCACCAACTTTTCAAAGGGTTTCAGAAGTCTTAATCTAAAGCAGAGACCAAATAAAATAGAAACTCACATTAATATGAGAATGAAAATGATAACTGCTAATTAAGAGAGGGTATAAGGAAATAATTTATTATATCAGGAGGCCCTTTAGAGTTTTGTACTAAAAATGAGTAAAAACTGCTCTCAATTTCCTACTATATAAAGAAAAGAGGGAAGTAAAATGGTTAAGTGTTCAATGTCTAATGAGAGGAAGCAAATAAATTCAGGAGAGACTAATATGTTCTTGAGCATGAGTTTAGAGGATCTCTATCGCATATGAAGAATTGAAATCTTTTTCTTTACGATGGTTAAGTGTTAGTAAATTTGGCAAATGGCAATTAATGTTACTTACAGTCTTGACACGTGCAGGGTTTGGTTCAAATGCATAAAGAATAGTGTCATCATCTTCATCATGAACAGGTATTCGTGTTCTTATCTAAGGAAGATTTATTAACGTATTAAAAGGAAAGATGAAAGATAGAACTGAAAGAAAAACTGAAGACTTCAATTACACTTTCAAGAAGCTCCAAAAGCCTATTTGTGATATCAAAAGACCTTTGTCCATTGTAAATACCATGGCTACATGAAAAGATGAACTTGCAGAACTGTTTTCTCATTAATCCAACTACACTTAAGACATCATTTTCCATCAAGCTTGACCTCTTGTGTACGTCAGGGTAGAAAGACTAGTAATCTGGTACCAGGACAGCTGTAAAAGCAAATGTTTCTAACCACAAAGAACCCTATTACATGGCTTTTGATTTTTAAATAATCCAACAGTGCCGCTCTGTGGACAAAATAGGAAACACTTAAGCACCTATATTTCCTGATAAATTCATCTCTAAATCACCTTAAAACATTTTTTGGAATAAGACAGGGTATAAATAAATAAATTTAGACAGTAAATAACTATTACATCTCATTTAAGAACTTTATTTTGAGAATGAATCATTAACTATAGAAATAATTTTAAAAGAAACATACTTAGAAGCTATGCATGTCTTTGTTTCAAACCACATAACCAAAATAATATGGAATTGGGCTATAGATTAGTACTTATAAAAATATACCATCTTACCCTTGTATAGTGCCTTATGCTTTTCAAAGTGCTTTCACATAATTATGTCAGAAAAAAATGACTTGGTAGGCAGTTAACATTATCTCCAAAGATGAAAAATATTGGGACTGATAGAAGTTAAGAGAATTGCCTATACCACTTAGGTGACATTAATATCTACATCTTCACGTAAGTAAAGAAATGTGTTTTCTGTTAAGCCAAATTACATATAGTTTAAAAATCTACATTTTTGTTCAACTTCAAGAATCAAGAAACAGCAGAATGTGACAGAAATGTACAACAGCACAACCACTTTGAAAAACTGTTTGGCAGATTCTTATAAAGTTAAAGTTATATCAACCCTATGACCTAGCAATTCAACTCCTGAGTATTTACCCAAAAGAAATGTTAGTATCTGTTCACAAAAAAACATGTATGTGAATATTCATATCAGCTTTATATATCACTGTCAAAACTCATGAACTGTACACTTACAAGCTCTGCATTTCACTGTATGAAATTAAATTCAATTTAGAAAAGAAATATAGCACAATGAAAAGAACAAAGACAGATTTTCAATCTGAAATACAAACCACATCGATTTCACTGGAGCCACTAGACATCTTTTTTGTGCAACAGGAGCAACTCCACTTCCTCTGAGTTGGGCCTAATTATTTTTAAACTTGCTGGAGGGTTTATTTGTAAAACTGCTTGGTCAGCTAGGATTGGTAAACCTTCTACTTCTGAAAAGCAATGCATAAAAAAGTTAACTTCACACACTTACTGCCTTAATAAACTTAATATGGATATGTTCTCAGAATGCCAAATTAAATTGAATTGGAGTCCTGGTTGAATTTTAGAGAGTGACAGAACAATTAATTTCCCATTAGTGATTTAGAATAAATCTTTAAAAATTGAAGGGCTATACTGCCCATGCCTACGAATAAGAATCAAGACCGAACACAATTCCAAAT